TCTAATTTTCATCTATTTCTAGGGATACTCCATTTACAAAACCTTTTAGTCTTATGTACTGTGACAACTAGGTTTGGAGTTCCAAATAAATAAAATACCTACATTAGAAAGCATATTTAAAATAAAAAATAAAATCAACAATTAGTCACATTTAATCTGTTTATATGCATGGATTTTCTAAGAAAGTTGTCTGAGTTCATATAATACTGTTAACATTTACTCCAAGTTAACATGTGTCATCTGACCTACTGCTCATGGCTTACAACACTGATAATGTCAACAAAAATTCTGATTTTGGGGAGACAGTGATACAACAAACTCTTTTTAAACTAGTAAAGGTAACAAGACAGTAAACTGTAATTATACAATTTAAAATCTCTATTCTTCATCTACCACTAGTATCCCTCCTCTTCCTGCTGGTATTAATTTTTCATAGCCTAATCACAGAAGAAGTACACAGTATCAAACACTATTTGTATTGGAAAATGGGTCTTAGATAACAAACAAAAAAGAAATTCATAAAATAAGATTAAAATGTTTACATGGTTGCATTCACTATTTTTAATTTCTTGATCCTTATTTCTTCTGGTTATACATAAATATTTTGCTCCTTCTTTTCATCCAGAGAACTTAATATACAAATCTGTTGTAAGTATTACAAAATGGTATTCCAGTTCAAGTTGCTTGTGATCATAGCCAACATAAGGAGGCAACGGACAAGTTTATAAATATTTTATAATTTTCAGTGTAGCGTCCTACTGATGTTTTCCTTAAATTAAGGCTTCATCAAGGAGAAATCCACAGTTTAAAAACTGGTGTTTTTAGCTTATGGATTAAGTGCACTCTTTCCAAAAAATCAAGTAATCTTGGAATAAGACAACTTCTAATAATCAGTGTCATGACTGAAGTAGTATCTTACTGGAGGTCCTGGCAAATCTTCATCACCATCAGTGTCTGGGGCAAATGACACAGTAAGATCCACATACTTCTTTTCAGTAGAAGGTTTCACAAGTTTGTGCATTCTAAGAAAAATAAGCAAGGGTGAATACTGTGGCAAATTTTGTAAAATGAAACAATGTACTAACGAATCCTATCCAGAAATTCTGGACTAGTCGCTAGACTTTACTTTAAAATTTAGTAATTCATTTGCTCTTATATACCCTTTTTTTTGGGGGGGGGGGCGGGTTTCAAGTACTTGAGTTTGAATTTGGTGCTTTGCATTTGCTAGGCATCACTACCACATGAGCCACACTCTGTGCCTTATATACATTCATTTTTCCTTACTAAAAGGTCTGAATTCAAGACACTCATTTATGTTACCACGAATCAATTTGGAATATTTTTGATAGTTAAAGAATACTAACCCTTCACTAACAGACAAAAAAAAAAAAAAATCTCCAAAATATTAGTAATGATTTTGAAGTCTCCTTCTATGTTACTTATAAAACTTGGAGGCATTGTACATTTTCTATCATTTCTCTATAAAGAGTGAAACTGCCTGCAGTTTCTATTCCCCCTCTATTCTATGGCTGCTAGAATTCTATTCAAATTTAAGTCTGATGTTATCCTGTTTCCTAATGTTATCAATCATACAGTGAGTACCTACTTCATGCCAGATTCTGAACTATCTAATTCAATTCTCAGTAATAGCTCTTTCCTGTATTTACAAAAAAAAATTTTTTATTTACTTATTTGAGCTTCTGGGGTTTGAACTCAGGACTTTGCTATTGCTAGGCAGGCTCTAATCACCTGAGCCACGCCTCCAACCCAGCTCTTTGCAGTTTTAAAAGGTATTTTGTCCCATATATAATTTTTCATTCCTTTACTTTTCACCATAACCAAATCATCTTTGAGGTCCTTCCAAAATATTTAACTTTCCAGAGACCATGCATACCATTTTTTAGGTGCATGTGTTTGGAAAAACTGTTGCTTATGCTAGGAATGGTCAGTCTTTCACAGATAACTCAAATGAAATCTATCCTAAATTAGAGGTTTGAGTTAGTAGAGCCCATTGTGCATTACAAAAATCTTTAGTATATTAAGGATTCAATTTTCCTTAGTAGACTGTGAACTTCTAAGAGCAGGGTTTTTTGTATGGTAAGAAAATATTAACAGGAGTAACATTTATGGAATACTTCTGTGCCATTACACTGTTAGGTTGCTTTACTATTACTTTAATCCTCAACAGCCCTGGGCATAATCCTTTTTTTGGTGGTACTGGGGTTTGAACTCAGTCCTAGGCAGGCACTTTACCACCTGAGCCACTCTACCAGCCCAAGCATTCTTCACTGTGGATAGGAAATTAAGGTGACAAAAGAAGTCAACAGCTGCCCAAACATGTGAACCCAGGTCTTTTTATACACCTGTGGTTAAAGCTCATGCTCTTAACCACAGCTTCATTGACTGATGTTAAGTGTTTAGCTACTTAAAAGGTATTTAATACCTGCTAACCAAACAATGTAATAAAACAAGAAGTATCATTCACAAAGCATATCCACACTGGGGAAATGAAATATAGGCCAACTCTCAAAAATATTTTTGTTTGACTACTTAGCTAACAGATTTTTTTTTTATTTTGCAATTTACAGCAAATTTTGAATTCCACAAGCTAGTATACTCATGACCACATATTCCATACTATTCTAGGTAGTATACAAACAAAATAATCCTAAATACCACTCTCTTTTTGTTTTGGTGGTACTGGGGTTTGAACTCAGGACCTCACACTTGCTAGGCAGGCACTCTTACTTCTTCAGCTATACTACCAGACTGATACCATTCCTAACTTATCCAAAAGATACTTAGCAACCCTAACAAAAAATAATAAGGTAAACTATGAAATTAATGCCTTAACAAATGTAATGGTTTAAGAATTTTTTTGAAACAGGGTCTCAATATGTAGCCTAAGTGGTCTGGAACTCCCTATGTAGCCCAGGGTTGGCCTTAAACTCCCAATCCTCCTGCTTGTACATTGGGATTACAAGCATGTGCCAGCAACTCATCAATACTTTAGTTTTTTAAAGATAATTAAGATGATTCTAATTTATAAGTGACAATTGACAAAGAATTAAAGCTAACAGACATCTTAAAGAAAACCATTGTGTAGAGATTTATTTTTTCACGTGACAAATATTTACTGATGCCTATTATGTGCCAGGTATTGGAAGTACTCAATATAAAACACTAAGCAGATAAAATAAAGATTTCTGCCTTAGTGAAGCATCTCATGTGGGGTGGGAGTGAGTGATGCAGATATTAAACAATAAATATAAGCAAAATATATAGTAGCCATAAGACAGTGGTGTTATAAAAAGAGAAAATGTAGAATAAAAGGACTTGGGTTAAAAGTAAACTGCAGATGGGGACAGGTTGCAGTATTATGTTAGTTCAGAAAAGCCTTTTTCAGGAAGTGCAAGGACCAGAGGTGAGATTTAGCCAAGCTGTCATCTCAGAAAGAAACACAAGCTGAGGGAACAAGTAGAGCAGGCAGAGGGAATAAGTAAATATACTTAATACCTTCTCTCCCCACATATTCTTTTCTCTTTCTCTTTTTTTCCTGGTGGTGGTACTGGGGTTTGAACTCAGGACTTTATGCCTGCTAAGGCAGGTGCTCTATCAGTTAAGTCACTTGCCACCCTTTTTGAGATAGGGTCTCGAAAACTATTTGCCTGGGCTGGCTTCTAACTGCACTCCTCCTGATCTCTGCTTTTTCTATGTAGCAAGGATTACAGGCATGAGCCACTGGTGCCAGCTTCTTCTATTCTTCTTTATTTTCTCCACAGCACTTGCCACCATCTGACTTACTTTTTTAATTGTTACGTAAACTCTTCAAGTAGGGAGGGCCTTTGCTTTGCTCACTGCTATACCCCCTAATGCTTAGAACAGGACCTGGTACGTGGCAGGCACCTTTAACAAAAATCAATGAATAAATATAACTATTCGGAACTTTTGTATTATACCTTAGTTTCATAAGCTTAGTTATCACATTTTCACATAAGAGGGTAGATTTACTTTTATGTAGTATACTAAGTAAAATTTCTAATAAAGCTTAGACCTGATTCTCTGACCTACAATAAACTCACAAAGGTATTGTAATCTTATGACTCTCTTTTGAGAGGTAGCCTGTGGGTTTCACCTGGCAGACCTTAGACAGAGTAATGTTTTTATCTGAATTGCAGTAACTTCTGTATTTAATTTTCGAGTGTACATACAGCTTCTGTTTTGATTCTTGTAAGTATTCTGCATGTAATGTTTGATTACTTACGTTAACTTTAATCTTTTTGCATGACCAGGCATTACAGGAACATAAAGCATTTTGACTCCCTGAACCACCATTGTTGGCTCAATACCATACTTTTCCTAGAAGTAAATACACAAAAGAGAAATAGTCAAAGCCTCAACCAAACATAAAATGCTTGGGTGAAAATGTTTTATGACCAGTAAAAATAAAGCAAGCTTACACTAAATAGTATTTATAACCAATGAAGTTATGGATAAAAATAGCTACCCTTTATCTGTGTTTCACAATCAATTATAGTCTGAAAGCATTAAATAAAAAGATTCCAGAAATCAACAATTCATAAGTTTTAAATTGTGATGAACCAAGCTGTCCTCTAACCTTACTGGGATGTGAATCATCCATGGTCCAGCATATCCACACTGCATTAGGTGCTTAGTAGCTGTCTTGGTTACTAGACTAACTGCTGAAGCGTTAGTTTTCAAGTAGCCATATTTTACTTAATAATTAACCCAAACAGCAAGAATAGTGAGGCTAGTAATTCAGACATCTCAAAAAGAAGCCATAAAGTGCTTCCTTTAAGTGAAAAGGTAAAAGTTCCCAATTTTACAAGGACAAGAAAAAAATCATAGGCTAAGGGTGCTAAGATCTACAATATAATGGTATTATGAAAGAGATACTTTATTACATTGCTATAATTTTTCTACTCTATTACTGTTAATTCTTTCTGTACCTAATTTAGAAATTAAACTTTGTCACAGGTATGTATATTAGGATAAAACATGGTAGCTATAGGGTTTAATGCTATTCAGTTTCAGGTATCCACTGGGAGTCTTGGAACATATTCCTCACGAATAAGGAGAAACTACCATAAACAGAAATCAAACTCAAAGCTACTAATGAACCAAGTGAATAAAGATACCTTACTTTGACTGCATTTATAAAATCCAAGAGGGTAAAATCTTCTTTTCCATGTATAATCCATCTGTCCCAAATTGTAAATGAGATTCCATTTCTGTTCAAAAATATTCACAACAGAAACATTATTTTCTTCTCTTTCGTAATGATAATAATAATAAAAAAACTTCCCACAATCCATTACTTGTGATTTAGTAATGTGAAGGAAAAAACCTCTAAAATATTCCATAACTTGTTTCCCCATAATATCACATAGGTAACTACTTTTATCTGTATCTTGTTGATTTTTTAAGTGACTCATTACAAATCAGTATGTCTTAGAGAGTACCTCTCTTTCATTATAAATAGTTGGAGGAGTTTTATTGTGGGGATGTTCCAGTCACCTATTACCAGACATTTGGATTATTTTAATAATTGGCTATCATAAACAATGTCAGAATAATTATGTTGCATATAAATAACTTAAGTGCGTATTATCTGCAAATTTGAAATACAGCATTGTATTTCCCTTATTATATAGTATTTTGTACTCTCACCAGTCATGTGTAAGAGTGCTTGCTTTCCTTGCCAAGATAGTTTTATTCAAGTTTTTGGCTGTTGCCAGCATAAAAAGTAAAAAATGGAGCCCAGGGAATTGTTTTTCTTTGTCACAAACTGGTTGAATTAGATTCTACATCTCATAATCCACAGTCAGATGCTAGAGAGCCTTCTAATGTATCTGAGTTAGGTAGATATCAACAAAACCATATAGTACTAAATAGTGTGGCAAATCAAATGCTATGACAATTCTTTGTCTTGTTTACTCAGAAATACTTCATCAGGATCAGGTTTGACTTACTCTTGAAGTGACAGCAAGGATTTACATATATATAAGAAAAGAAGAGGGAAAGGCAGTATTTTTCCCTTTTAAAAGACAATACGCACAAGCAATAGACCTTCGTACATACCTGATTTCAGTTTTCCTTACTTCAGATGCCTCTGTAAACACTATAACTGGAATGGCTAAGTTCAGGAAACAATTTTTATAAGCTTCAAATGGATAGCCACCAGTTACTTTGATCATCTCCAAGGCAACCTAGATAAAAGAAGGCAATCTAATTATACGAAGAGTCTAAAAACTATTCATAATTTCAATTGGCTCTATTCAGTTTTCCTAAGTCCTTCTCAAGCACTTCTGTATAAAGAGTAAAACCTGCTACAAGACTGGAGTAATACGAATTTCTTATTTGTAGGTCTCTATATTTTTATTATATTTTATTTTCAAACTTTAAACTTACTCCATACAGAGTGAACAAAGTTATTTGACCATGTAATCTTTGTACTTTGAAAGCAGATGCCCGAACTCAAAAAATAAAGCAGTCTAAAACCACTCAATATAAGGGTAAGCAGCTAACTATATAGCCTTTTCAGACAAACGCTATAAGATGGGATAATAACTAAGGCCATGCTAAAAATTCTGAATTACATAAAGATTAGGGCAGTTTATTTTATTCAAGAATAACAGAGAACCTTATTTATACAGAGAATATAAAGATGACTGAGATAACTACTTGTAAGAAAATTTGTATCTTGAGCTTATTTTTCAAGATGTCAATTTCTGAATTTTCAGAACTACCTTGAAATTTTAAACAATATAACCTTCCACCTCTAACATCTGAGTGACTAACTCAGAACACAGGAAAAGGCAATAAAAAAGAAGAAATTTTTAATTGAAGAATAAGCTTACCAAGCCAGAAACTGCAGCAGTGGATGTTGCTATAGCAGGTATAATCTTACCAGCTATGCGCTTTGTTTTAAAACGGTCAGCTGGTTCAATGCTATACATTTTGGCACGAAGATTGGATGCAGCTGTGATGAAATCTATGTGTCCATTACTATCATCATCTTTTTCAAATGAAAGTACTGCCATCTGAAGGTCACCTGGTGAAAGAGGTCAGAATAAAGTTCCCTAGTAAGTGGTAAAAGTTTTGCTAGGTAAAAAGCAATGGGGTTCAGTACTTTTAAAACTTAGTAGCTGGTGCCAGTGGCTCATACCTGTAATCCTAGCTACTTGGGAGGTGGAGATCAGAAGGACTGTGGTTCAAGGCCAGCCCAGGCAAATAGTCTGTGAGACCCCATCTCCAAAATAACCAGAGCAAAAATGGACTGGAGGTATAGCTTAAGTGGTAGTGTCCCTGCTTTGCAAATGCAAAGCTGTAAGTTTAAATCCCAGTCCCAACAAAACCAACAAATAAAACCTAGTAAATAGATAAATAAGAAGGCTGAGTACTACATTTCTGCTGTCACACAGTTTCATAAAAAAGCCAACCTCTGTGGTATTATTAAAAATTTAATCCATAAATCCTTCTCTGAAACATTTTCCCTCTGACAACTAATAAAGTCAAGTGGTTAAATAAAAATATGTACTTTCTAAATCAGTAGTTTCCAATATTATTCTAATAATCATTTTCAATTAGTTTCCTGACATTTTATTGATTCATGCATAAAATCCCAAAACTCTGGAGCCACTGATTTATACAACAAAAGATGGTGAGCAAGCATAACAATAAGCAAATGGATCTGCTTTCAAAGAATTAAATGTTCACTTTTCCTAGATTTTAATATGTAAAAATCATTTAACAAGGTTGAACATAGGATACTTTGTAATCCCTGACATCAATTAAGCAGAAAAAGAACCTAAGAAGAGTTCTGTATGATTCTTTATCATAAAGTGATACAAATGGGTCTAAAGATTAGTTTCCACAAGGACCCCATTATCCTGAATTTTTAATTCCTTAACAGAGATATTTGCTCATGTTTTAAAATGTGCTCATATTTAAAGGATTAAAACAATCAGTACTACAATAATAACAGCAGTTAACATAATTTGGAGAATTAGATTTTAACACTTGAGGGTGGGGTCACTGTGAGGAAAATGATGAAATTTAATCACAGGTAAAAATGAAAAATGACTTTCACATGATAATGAAATCAACTATTACTATTACCATTTAATCTCACAAACTTTCCAGTATGAAGCTGGGGTAACATAAAAGCCCATCTATAGCTACTTGGGAGGCTGATATCAGGAGGATTATGGCTCGAGGGCAGCCCATGCAAAACGTTTCAAGACCCCCCCCTCCACCCTCCATCTCCAAAATAATCAGTGTAAAAGTGTACTGGGGGTGTGGCTCATCAGCAGAGTTCCTGCTTTGCAAGTGAAGTCCTGAGTTCAAACCCAGTACCACCAAACAAATATGTAAGCAAAAAAACCCCATTTTAAAATGTTTTTAAGGAGTTTCCCTTACTTTTGGAAGCTTCATTAGATGAAATAGCCTTTTCTAGTTGGAAAACAGCATTCCTTTCATCTTCACTGCTAATAGGAACATGGTCTGGTTTCCTTGCAGTTTCATC